GAGCTAAGTGCCCTGGGGAGAGACCGATGGGAGGGGGCCCGGGAGTGTTGGGCAGGATCAGGAGGCTGTTCTGTTTTGTCTCGTCCGGGAGAGCCTTCCGGGCGGGGACCCTGGAGCAGGGACCTGGAGACAGTGAACGAACAGGCACACGGTGTTTGACGGGAACGGCGGTCCAGGCCGGGGAGGCGCCCGAGGCGGCAGGCACTTGGTGGCCGTAGGGAGCACGGAGGTGGTCACCGCGCCCTGAGGGGCTGGTGAGGGACAGCTGCCCCAGGTGGTCACGCCTGCCATCTGGCCGCTGAGTGCTCGGGGGAGGCTCCGGAGAGCTTTGAGCAGAGGAGGGGCCGGGGGCGGAAGGGTCACTCTGCCGCTGCGTGGAGAGCGGGGGCCGGGAACCGGCCAGGAGGGGTTGGCGCGGTCCAGACAGGAGGTGGAGGCGGGGTGGGGGTGGGGGGCGTAGAATGAACTGGATTCCAGCTACATGCCGAAGACGGAGCTGACAGAACTTGCCGATAGACGGAATGTGGGGCTCGAGAGGACCGGAGTTAAGGATGAGCTCCAGCTTTGAGCCTGAGCAGCTGGAGGATGGACACCAGGTGACACGGGGAAGGTGAGAGGCAGAGCGGATCGGGGTGGGGGGCAGATCGGGGTGGGGGGCAGACAGGCCGTCCGTTCCGGGCATGCCGACTTGGACAAGCATCAGGTCTGGGGTTCAGGGCAAAGGAATGAGTGTTGAAGGTGCCAACCTGGGATCAGCAATGTGTGGCTGGGGTTTCAGGCTGTGAGCTTGGAGGAAGCCTCTCCGGGCCCCAGTGTAGACAGAGAAGAGTTGGGTCTGGGCACTCGGTCTGTCAGAGGTGAGAGAGAAGAGGAAGACCCAGCAGTGTGGGCCGAGAAGCACCAGAGAGTCACCGTCCATGACAAGCAGGGTCAAGGAAGGTGAGGGCCCAGGAGAGATCACTGGGACAGCCACGCGCAGCGCATGCGGACCTCAGGGAGAGCAGTCTCTCTGGAAGGAAGAAGGAAACAGGTCAGCAGCTGAGTGTGAGGAGGGGAATCTGAAGAGACAGGAGAAGGTGTGACATAGCCATCTGGAGAAAGGGGGTGACAATCTAGGGGCAGGAGGGGCGGGGGTGATGTTAGGGACGTGCGGTCATGACTTTAAAGTCAGACTGGTCAGCAGGGGAATCACCAAAACGCCATCATAAGACATTTCTTGGAAGGGCACCTGGATGGCTCAGTTGGTTAAGCGTCCGACTTCGGCTCAGGTCATGATCTCACAGTTCGTGGGTTCGAGCCCCGCGTTGGGCTCTGTACTGACAGCTCAGAGCCTGGAGCTGCTTCAGATTCTGTGTCTCCCTCTCTCTCTGCCCCTCCCCTGCTCACACTGTCTCTCTCTCTCTCTCTCTCTCAGAAATAAATAAAACATTAAAAAAATTTAAAAAAAGAGGGGCGCCTGGGTGGCTTAGTCGGTTAAGCGTCCGACTTTCGCTTAGGTCATGATCTCGCTGTTCGTGGGTTCGAGCCCCGCGTCGGGCTCTGTGCTGACTGCCAGCTCGGAGCCTGTTTCAGTCTGTGACTCCCTCTCTCTCTGACCCTCCCCTGCTCACGCTCTCTCTCTCCTAGAAATAAATAAAACATTAAAAAAAAAAGTTTAAAAAAAAAAAAAATTTAAAAAAAGAAATTTCCTGGAACACTTAAAGGTGTTCTCTGCAGCATTATTTATAATCACAGAAAGTGAGAGCAAATTTAAATACCCAGAGACGGTTGTGAAACGAAATGTTATATGTACACTTAGCCAGTTTTAAGTATTTTTGTATAATAAACATCCTTTATAAAATATTTGCAAAAAATATGGTTTCATACCTATAGATAAAGTCAAGAGGGCTTTCTCCCCTAATCTTAAGAACCAATATGAAGACGATAATCTTCCCAATAAAAAGATGAGCAAAGGATAGAAACGTTATTCAGACCAGAAGAAATGCAAATAACCATTCTACATAAATGAAAAAAACAATTTCAACTTCTTTTCAAAGAAATGCGATTTGAAACAGCAACGAACTGTAATTGCTTTCCTGTCAAGCTGGCAAAGATTAACGCCAAAGTGTTGGTGTCAGGGGGCGCTTGGGGGGAAGCGAGTTCGGGGGCAGGTGAGAAGAGGGAGGGTCTGGTTTCTCTGGAAGGAGCCTGGCGACCTCATCAACAGCTTTTATGACCCAGCCAGTCCTGCGTCACCGCGTGGAAATGCCCGACATGCCTGCACAGATGTCCGTCACAGGAAGCGTTACTTGTAACAAGACGCAGGACGTGATACAGGTGTGGATGTTTTGAAAACCAAAAACGAGAAAACGGTGAAAGGCCTCCCCCCCGTAGTGTTGACTGACGGCGGCTGTTGAGCAGCGGTGGAAGCACCGATGAGGAGGGCGGGCTCCTCTGCCCTCCCCTCCCCTCCCCTCCCTGGGATGACCAAGTGTCACCTATATCAGCCAGTGGAGAAGGAATTGGTGCTATTTAAAAATAATGTTTATAAACTTGGAAATAACATGGGAAAGGGCATGGTAACTGGGGAAAGCAGAATCGAAATTTATTTTTTTAAACGTTTATTTGTTTTTGAGAGAGCGAGCGAGCCAGGGAGGGGCAGAGAGAGAGAGAGAGAGAGACAGCATCCAAGCAGGCTGCAGTCTCTGAGCCGTCAGCACAGAGGCCCACACGGGGCTTGAACTCAAACCCGTGAGATCATGACTTGAGCCCAAGTCGGTCAGGTCGCTTAACGGACTGAGCCCCCAGGCGCCCCAACAAAATTTTAACCATAGTGAGACCTTAACTGTGTCAAGCGTGTGTTCAGGTACAACATCTGGAAAGAAATCCATCAGTGGCGGCCTGGGGGTGATCGAAAAGGGATGACTTTTCCCCTTTTTACTTACCTGCGTGCTCAGTCTTACTGCAGACTGTCACTATCTGATGCAAAAAAACCCCCACATTTTAAAAAACAATCTCTTTGGCCTGCGCAGCGTGGGGCTGCGTTGCGGCGCGGCGGCACCAGGCGCAGGAGCGGAGGCGCGACGCGAGTCCCCCGCGCCGCCACCGCCCGGGCGGCGCTCTGGCGCCCCCAGCTGCCAGGCCCGGGGAGTGCGCAGGACGGACCCCTCGGCCGCCGCCGCCAGGCTGGGAGGGGGTTTCCTTCTCGGAAGCTGCGGGGACCCTTCCGTCAGGCTCACACCCCTCCGTCTCAGCATCCCTCTCCCGGGGGGTACCTGGCCGCAGCCCACCGCTTCTCCCCGCCCCCTTAACACTGCCTTTTCCAGAATGTTCCCCATCATCCCAGACACGCTCTTTTCCTCACTGACTTGCTGCGGCCCAGCCCCTCCGCCCCAGGGAACATATACTTTATCATCCCTAGTTTCCTTCAACAGGGAGCGTGATGTCACAGGAGCAGGGCCACCCACTGGCCGTGTGGCAGTTCACTTAGACGCCGGGTTTCCAGGGCCAAGGGGATGACCCCCTCCAGCCTATGAGGGTCAAATGAAACGGGGCAGAGATGCTTCAGAATCTAGAGAGGGCCAGGGAAAGGTCCCTCTCCGTGGCTCCCGTTCCCTGTCTGGGGCCCTGACTCCTGGGTTATAAAGCCATCTCCCCCTCCCCCCCCACCCCCAGGCTCCTGCTTTCCCCTTGTCTGCAGTCGCAGGCGCTGGGACCCCAGTGGGTGGTTTCCCGAGGAGGACCCGGCGAGGCGTGTTGTCCGAGGCGTGTTGTCCCGTTTGTCTCCAGGCTGCAGGCTGAGCACAAAGGGACCTCAACTGCTCACTTGCAAAGTCAGCTCTCCTGCTGCCCTCACTCTCTCCCACACCCTCCCCCTCTGTCCTTGCGCCAGGTCCTCGCCCTGAGCCGGGCCTGGCAGACAGAAGGCTCTCAGGTGAGTGCTGATTGGATGAAGGAGGTGAGGAAGGCGGGACCCTCCGTCAGGCTCTCCCCCTGTCCTTGGGGACAGGGCCCTGCTGATGTCAAAGCCTCTCCCCACCAGGCACCAGAGGACCCAGGGGTGGCTCCGAAGTGCTCTGAGGGCTTCCGTGCCCCCGTCCCCCAGAGCAGGGGTGAGGCTGGGCAGCCCTGAGCATAGGATGTGGGTGACCATGTGACATCTGTATGTGCATGTGTGTCTGCCCCTCCAAACACACGGTGACGCCATCGACAGAGACAGATACCACAGCAGCCAGGGATAGAAACAACTAGTGTATTGATTTGGGGGGAGAGAAGGGGTGCAGATGGGAAATGGGGGGCCAAGGGGCCCTTTAGTGTTTGCCAAAATCACGGAAACACACCCTCTACGCCTTCGCCTTCTCACCTTCCTCCTCCAGCAGCGCGGGGCCACGGCCGGCTCCCACCCTTCCTAGTCCCCTCCATCTCCCTCCTCCCCTGCACCCACTTGACCTTGACCTCCAGTAACAGGGCAGAGCCCTCACTTCCGGCTTCCAGGTGAGGCAGGCTCCTAGAACCTTCCTTCCCCTCTTTCCCACGGCATTCCCATCTCTTGTCTAAGTAAGATACAGAAAAAGCAAGTGCGGCTGGTACCTGGCAGAACGAGTCAGCCCCGGGGCTGGGGCAGGGGTGGGGCTGGGACGGGGCAGGCAGGGAGCCTGAGCCAGGTGTAGTGGACGATGGGGGCCGGCCGGGGGGCCCGGCTCAGCCCTCCTCCCTTGGAGGCTGGCACAGGAGACTCCACAGCCGCCTCTCAGGCACCATGTTCATGAGGTCCCCGGGGCAGGGGCGGCAGTGGGGCACAGAAGCGGGGCCCGGGCCCTGTAAAAGCATCCCTTTCCCTCGGCTTCCGGAGGAAGCCCTCTTTGGTTTTAAGGCAGATGTGAGTTTCCTGGAAGCAGGGAAAGGAAGGGGCTGGAGATAGATGCTTTTTTTTTTTTTTTTTTTTTTTTTTTTTTTTTTTTTTTTTTTTTTTTTTTTTTTTTTTTTTTTT